AATGTAGTTCAGGGACTTTCACACAAGGACGAGGATAAATCACCGTTTTCATTTAAACTTGTTTGACGTCCGTGGAGACTTGCAGAGTGAGTCTTCTCCGGCATGACACGTGACTCCAAATCATGATGTTATTTTTGTAGCCAGACTGCTGTGACTTTGAACTGAACTATAAATGATGTTTTTTCAACCCGAGAGAGTCCTGTAAAAGTAAAATGTTGTTTATTAGTTAGTTAGTTATTTATTTAAAAGGACAACGGACAGGTACATTAAAAAGATGGCTGCCCCAGAACTAGCACAATGCTAATTTCCATCTGTAGTCCTTATACAATCAAAAATACAATTAAAATACATAGCAGAGTTAATTAAAATACAAAACATAGACAATAAACATGCAATATATAGTAAAAGTGCAGATGAAAAGTGCCAGTTGCATTCATAAAGTGCAGAATGACAAAGTGCAACAGTTTTCATAATTATTTTGTAGCTATACATAATTATCACATAGATACAATAGTTTTTAACACTAATAATGTGGTGATATGGTGGCCATCAGACGATACCCGCGAGGGTAACACCTGATGGCCAAGTACCCATCTGGTACTTTTAGTGCGAGCAGGACTGTTGATCTAAAAGCCAGTCTTTAACTGCCCGTGAAAAACTGTGGAAATCTGCATTGTTCTTTAGATTGTCTGGGGGCCCATTCCATTCTTTGTTTGTTCCAACAGAGAGAGTTTTGTAAATTTAAAATGTTTAGACCACAACTTTCTGACTTTATACTGTATTATTAGACAACATTTATCTTTTGTGTACTTGTAAGAACGAGCCGACTTCTCACTATTTGACTCTTTGGGCTGAGAGCTGATTGGATACAATCAAGGTGATCTACTCTATTTCATTTTTCTGTCTGTGAAGCTGATCTAAAGACGGGACAAATGTAACAAAAATGCACATAAAAACTAGTGATAGAACCTGTTTTGAGAGCTAGTTTGAAAATTAGTGATCCCAGCTTTATTTCTTGTCTAATTATAACCTCTGTAAAACCATGATAAGTAACGCACTGAACAAAAACATTACTACAACAGGAAGGTTACTACGGTTATAGCGCCCTTGGGCAATACACTTCATCGCCTTGCCTGAATGATTGTGAACACCAGTATAAAAAAAAACTTCTCGATCTGCTTGTCAACAACGGCTGTGCATAGGATTGTGTAACTTTAAGTGCACTCTCTTTAGTTCTATCTTTATTAAAGCCAAACATTAAACCTTTAGGCGCCAAAGATTTTGTTGTGAAACAGACAAGAGGGGGAGCCCTGAATCTATAGAGAACTTCTAAATAATAATATGAGTAAATTAATGAAAAAAATAAAAAATTCCTGGGAGACGTTTTTGGAAAGCCAGGTCGCCCTAAAGCAGTGGTTCCCAAACTTTTAGCCCTGTGTGCCCCGTCACCAACATAAACAGGGCACAAAAAACACCTTTCTTCAGGCCTTTCTGTAGAACCAGGAAATTCTACTTTCTTCGTGGAATGTACGTTTATAACTAATATTTTGCTTCTGATCATTATCTGTTTATTTGTTCTCTTATGTAGGAATTTTAACACATTTTTTTTTTATTTTTCTTGAATTTTCAGCTTTGAACAAGAGGAGTACATACTTGGACTGAACCAAAACTGGCTTTTTATTGCAGACTGATAGACCATTTATTACTGTATAATAATGCCCTGTGTATATAACTCAATAAATGATATGGATTTGAGAAATGCAGCTTTGAAACCACGTATACATGTCATAGTAGCCCAATTATACATCTTACTATCAATGATTGCTAGTACCCCCAGAAATACCCTTGTAGACTCCAGTTGGGAATCATTGGTCTAATCTCTAAAGGGTGAGATGTCAAGTCAACACAAAACACTGATTTCAAAATGATATTAACAATGTACGTGTGTAATAAAGAGAGGGAATCGCTTATATTCATTCATCAATAAATTTTAATGAAAAAAGAAAACAGCAAATGTATGTACCCATTTAACAACAACAGAAACTAAGAGAAAAAGATGTCAGATTTTGAGCGCTCTTATATACAGCATATTGCACTAGAAAAGAACAAACATCCCACATCCTTGTGTGTGTGTGTCCTTCTTTAGTCCCTCCCCTGGTTCCCTGCGCCGTCGCTGGATGTAGGAGCCCGGAGTTGTCCCACTGATTACGCACACGCACTGCTTCAAACGAACACAACTGCTACATGTGACTGGGCCTCGCTTCATGAATGTGCGATCGGTGGGAAAACTTTGGCTCTGGAAAAAAAAAAGCGTCCGGCGCCGAGACAACCTCCTCTGGCGAATTTCAGTTTCACTTCCGCTGTTGAGAATCGGATGAGATCGTGTGTGTGGTGGTGTTTTTCCCCCGCTCCGTTCAATTACATTCAAACTCTTTTAAGATACAAATTTCATCAGGAATGTCGGACATGCATTTTTTTGTACATATATCCAAAGAAAACAGCCCTTGAACTGAGAGTAGTAACACAGCAGACCTGGCGGTATAGCAAATATGAAAAAAGATGCCACGACATTGCAGTAATAAGCCATTATAGAAAAGCAAAAGAAAACTTGTGTGTAATTTAATTTCTTTACAAAAAGTCATGGAAAATGTCTTAAAAATTGCTATAAACGTGTTTCAAATTCTTGTCAAATGTATAAAAAACACCAAATCACAGCACTTGACAGTAAAAGATGCACTCTGGTTTGGATATTTCAAAAAATAACGGATAAACGAAAAGAAGTTTGAAAGACACTGAAGGCTGAACATAACTTAAGTCGAGGTGGCAGCAGTAGTTGTTACAATCTGGCTCAGTTAAGAACTCCTATTGCTGTTGCACCCATCTCGTGTGTACATTAATAATACTGGGCACCGCGGTGGCTCAATCCTCCGTCTTTTTCAAATCCACAGCCCTTCTAGATTCAAGGGATAAAGCAGAGACCCGGTCTAGAGCCAGGTCTATCCAGCATATCACTGATCTTTAAAAATAACAAAAAGTTGACAATCTAGAGGCGGGACTTTCAGCACAGGAGTGGAAAGAGCTGCGCAAGTGTACAGTATACAAGTAAAAGGAATCATTCTTTACAGTGCACATTGATTGCAAACAGTCTGATATTAGGAAGCGGTTGATGCCAAAGCCCGTGCCTCGAAAGGTGTTTTTTCTCACAGGGTAAAAAAAGAAATTGACTTGGGTTTGCCCGGTTGATGATAATCACACGGCAAAGTCAATTCTCAACAAGGCACATAAGAGTACATTTTGATTGTCTGTTGATGTTTATTTGTTTTTGGCGTGTATTTAAAAAAAAACAGCCAGTCGTGTGAGATCACGCGAGGCACATGGCTTTAGTTTTGACTCCGCCCTCCCGCACACAGGCACCAATCACACGACTGAATGCACACCATCAATGAGGAAGTAAAACGACTGTACATGCCATAGATCTATACAGTAGCACTGAGCAAATATACACTAATAAATTAAGTATAAATTAAACAAAATACTAAAAAAAGGTTGTCAAAGTTGTAAAAAATAAAGTAAAGGCAGGGAGTAGCTCGCACAGTGGAGATGTTTCCAGACTGTTTTGGAAGTGTCACGACATTTGGCTCAGCGTTCAGGGTTTGCAGGAAAAAAAAACTTAAGCATTTTGACTACTAGAACTAGTAGCGCTAAAAATCAACCTCCGAATGATCTGTGACACATACTGTAACAAACATGGTGGTAAACTACTCCCTGGAAGAAATCAAAGGACTTAAACCTATCAGTGTCTTCATAAGATTCTAAAATGGTACTTATTTAATGTGTGGCTTCATAATGGAGATGTGAAAACTGAAATGTTTGTGGCGATTATTTGGAGTAATGGGTATTTGCCTGTGAATGATGTCACGCACTGGAAAAAGCACTTTTAGGTTGATTGAGAATCTCGTTCGTGCATGAGACAAGCACGCGGGATGAGGCTTCGAAGTGCTTTTGGACGTGAAGGCGTACTCGGAGTAAAAAAATTCATAATGATAGACTTTTCGATAGACTTTTCGATTCATATCAATTCTATATATTTCCAATCAATCTCTTTTGCAGGCGACTCACAATGCAGCGTGGTGTGAAGATTGTCAAACCAGCTGATGACGAGAATCTGATTGTTGTAACGTCCCTGATTATATCCAACCATAAGACTTTCCAAAATCTACTTGTGCTTATTTAGCTTTGAAGTTGTTAGCACACCAACCATCTGATGAAGAATAAAAATGGTTGCATCAGGATGACTCTATTCAAGTTAAATATCTATATATATTTGAGCATTATATGTACTTTACACAGTGGTCCAACAGGATGGTGTGTATGGGTGATGTGTGGAAGCTTGTCTGTGAATACAATATTAGCCAGTGTGGGACCGTGAGGAAATTAATATAGGGCATGTTATATTTCTAAGAATAAATTAGAAAAAATATGTCTCAAGTCCTCAAGGTTTGCGGAATCAGTCATTATTTTGCAGAAAATGTCAGCCATTCCCAGACAAAAATGGCTTTGTCCGGTCCGTGCCGTTGCTGTCCTTGATGTGAAAGAGTTGTCTGTGGCGGGAGAGAGAATAAGGCATTCTCTGGACTTGATGGAGGTCCTTCAAGACTTGAATTTAGCAAATAAAAACTGTACAAAATAGGTCATCTTACAAATATTTTGAAAATATCTCTTCAAACAGAATGGCTTCTTCTCAGAGAGGCGAAAAAGGCAAAATAACAGGACCACAATTCATTTAAAAAAAAAAGAAGAAAAAAAGGAAATTCACCGTCTCCGTCCAGCGGTGACCAGTGTTCTTCATCTTCAGATCCAGTTAGAAAATGAAACAAAAATCCAAAACCCGTGTTTCATCTTTACAGTGCCATTTCTTTGTGAAAAAGTCCCTTGTCTCCACAGTGTCCGTCTTTCTTTGAGTTTGTGAATGGGGACAAGGAGCAGCCCGGGGGCGGCGTTCATCTCTGCTGCCCCCGGAGGCGAGGTTGCGCCGGCTCTCCTGGAAACAGGAAGCCGAACAGAGCGATGGTCAGGCGCATCCAGGCGGGAAGGACCTGTCTCTGGTGCCTCATGAACTGTGGAGGACAAACAGAGAGATACAGTTAAAATCAATAGGTCTCTGTAGTTAAAATGGCTTTTCGCTTTCCTGTGTCACCTTAAGTCCACAACAGCCTAGAGTTGTCAAGTCCAAGTCTCCAATGTGCATTTGTTCTGATATTGAAAGCTATCTATGATACAATGGTGTTTTGATAACCTTTTCAACGTGATATTTACTTCCTGCTTAAACCAAAGAAACTGATTAGATATGTTTTGTTTCCCTTTATGTTGCTCTATTTTAAGCAACAAAAGTTAACTGAACTTCTGCATAGAACCGGAGGCATCATCTCGTTACCAGTCTGCCTCTCTGGGGTTTTGACAGTCACTCCTCATTGTCGTTGTGCTGTCAACTCCCAAACAACAGCCTCAAAAGCGAAGTGCAAGGCTATTTCATCACTTTCCGACCTCGACATCAGCCAAAATAATTATCAAAACAAAGCAGAGGAAACTATCGTGGCTGCCTCCTACGGTGCTGATCCTCCAGGCGTAGATTTTCATGTTCGATCTCTCAAACTGATGAAGGGGATTCTAGTATCTGAGTGAAACCTGCCCCAAACCACACCGCTACACCTCCCCTTCGCCTCCCCTTCGCCTCCCCTTCGCCTCCCCACTCATCCCAGCAGCCTTCTGAACCTCTGCGCTCCAGCATTGCAGCCCGTTGCATAAGCATTCTTCTTACAATCTTTGTAGCTCTCTGGATCAGGAGCTCTGCCAGGCTGAAATCACAGAGTGCCTTGGGCTATTTGATGCTAGAGAAGTCGTCTGAACTACGCTGGAGCCGCACCGCTAAATGTTACCCTAATTGTCCTTAATTGACTTAATTCTACAGTGCGGTGCGTTTTTTAAAACAGAGCCCGGGTTTGTTCCACTCGTCTCGCTGTTCTCTTCTGCGTGGGCTGATCGTAGCTTGCTCTTTTCAATGCTTCGAAATGATTGGGCAACTGAGGATTTGAGCTGGTTTTCTGCTTGTTAAGATGTTTTAAAGCATGAGATAAATTCAAACCAGATGTACAAGAGGTGCATACTAAAAAGCTGCGCCGACCTGCTTTTATATATGAAGTAGTCACTTATCTACGCTGACAGCACTACACCCACTAACACTGCTTCTGGAAAGGCCCTTAACCTGGCATACACCCAAGATGTTTGCCTGTTCACGTTTATGTAATTGTCAAATTAAACAACTTTTACTACAGAAACGACTGAAGTAATATCCCCAACAACCCTAACTGAGAGATACATAAAAAAGAAATAATGATTAAGTTAGGCCTTATAGTTATTTGTTAAAATGTCTGTCAGCTCTTACCTTTTTTTTTTTTTTTTTTTTACTGAAATCAGCCTTGTTTCTACACAAACCCACACAACAAACTTCTGCTTGGTGAGACAAGTCTAACAATAGCTCAAATATCAGAAGGGAAAGCTGTGATTGGACATCAAATACCGGCAAAAGAAATAAATAATGTCCTGGAGAAACAGACCGTCTAGACCAAAAAGACAAATGTGTCTCTTATCTCCCTGTCATAAAGTGAAACACGCGCGCACCGCCATCGGGACAACTGAGGTATTGTGGTTTGTAGTTGTCATGTTACTGGCTGCTTCTATAAGTGAGTGAGTCAGACTCTATTTTTAGACAGGCATATAAACAGCTATCCAAATCTACCCAGACACAGGCACGCGGCCCAACACACCTGCTGGATGTTCCTCTCGTACTTTTATCACAAGTTTCCTTATTCAAAAAGTGCAGTGTTGTTGTCAACCACACCTCGCTGCTCAAACAGACCCCTGTGCGCCACACTGGAGATAAGGGCCAGGTTTGCATTTGTTCTGAGTCACATGATCACAAACCGATACTACAAACTCTCTGACCTTTTAGAACTGTAACTGTGTTGTGTTGTATGACGCATGAGGGCGGGGCCAGTTGTGTTTGTCCTCAATCAAAGTCCAGTCCAGGTATAAAGATAGTCAAAACAACAGTTATGAAAGATTGATAGATGATATTTAGGGCTGTCTGGTTTAAATTGTCTAGTCGACTTAATGGTTGATGGCCAAAGTGTTGTTGTTAGTTGGTAATGGTCTAATTATTATACTTTTACTGTATAGTATTTTATGTAAAAACGCCAACAATGCTTTTACTTTGAAATTCACTCAAAAAACATACTTCCATTTACTTATGTCTTCAATATAGTTTAATCAATTACTAAATGGCTCAGTGATTTTGTGCCTAAATGGTATTTGACACTAAATTTGGTTCAAATATTTAATATTTTTCATTTTATTTAATGCCCTAATAATAATCTAATATTTTACCTCCATACATGACTTTATATGTTATTGTAAATAAGGGTAATTCTTACCACATCTATGTGCTCCTGGTGGAACTTGTCTCCAATGTCCCGGAGTTTGCGACCGATCTGAGCCTCGGCGCTCACGGCAGGAGGCTCTTCGTCTCTCTGCGCTGACACATGTTCTTCCTCCTCCTCCTCCACCGAGCGCTCTCCTCGGTCCTCCATGATCTCAAACTGAGCGGGGAAGTGTGCGCGTAATCCTGCGTTGCCTGTAGAAGAAAGCAGGCAGCATTAGAGCTTTGTGTTATTAATATGGATACCTCTAAGAGGGCATGTCGAGTCTCAGTCATTTTTAAACACAATAGTTAAAAGATATTGCATGTCTGCTTCAAAGAAGACAGTGAGAGACTCTTGTAAAACTAAATACTAAACACTTTAAATCAACAGTTTATTTGCTGTTTGTGTCATTGGGTTTACATGTTGCCTCAAGCAAGAGCTCAGTCATGCCACTTGGAGAGAATTCATTTTATTTGCTCAAGAAAATAATGCTATTCTGTCCCTTATCTGTGATAAAGTGTGAGCAGTGTCTGTGTGGCGTAGAACTGGCAGCGTGCCAAGAGCATGACATCCATTACTGCTGAGATTATTCTGAACGACAAGGTAATAACAGGCTCTGGTGTTGTTTATTGATGACTCCATAATGTGAACAATATGTACCTATCTACTGACACGGGTCAGCAAACAACAAGCTGCTCAACATTGTTGCTCCTTAATTCGGGTGACGCCATACTGAATTCATTAGACACGCAAAACCGCTATTAAATTAAACATACAACTCGCCTGTATGTCCATCGTGGCTGCATAGTTTGTATTTTCTGTCTCATTCGTTTACAAAAACTTATTTTTAAAGTGCAAATAGAAGCATTCCATAATTATTCTATTACGAGCTAATGTAATTAAAATGAATCAAATTAGGGATAGCTGCTTGATAATGAGGGTAAGAATGCCTAAACGGTAAATAAATGTCCTAAAATAGAATGGCAGGTTTTTTCCTCAATACATGCCATACTTTAGTGTTTGTGTGGGCCCTGGTTTTGGCTCTCGTCCGTGCTCACCATGAAAGGGGGCGCGTGGTTGCCAGTGCAGGCTGCAGGGCAGTGCATTGATGCTGTGGCTCTGTGCAGTGGGCACTGCCACAGTGACGGCAGCCAGGGCCTGTCCAGCCGCCATGTGTGAGGTTGGGTCTTCGTATTTGATGTCCCTGAAAGGCGTTCCCCAGAGCTGCGAGATGGGTCTTGACATGTCCTCCTCATCCTCCATACGACGCCTCAGCGGTGAAGTCCCTAAAGCCAATAAGATGGGAGAAAGTTTAATTGAAGCAGATATAGAGTACATCAGTCAGAAATCCTTGGTGAGATAAATCATCTCACCAAAGACATTTGTTGAAAATGAGTCATTAGTCACCATAATGCTCAGTAAGAAGCTTAAAGGTGTGAGGTAATACCTAAAACAAAAGCAGTGGTGGATTGTCTCATGGTTGACACTATGTGTGAGAATCTGCTGCATTTCATATAGCAACAGAGGCCCTCTACTCTGCAGCTGCATAGTCGTCCTGTTATTGGTATATTATACACTTGCGCTCCGCGCCTTTATCTTACACTGACTGGAGTAATGCGGTAAACATGCATCTACTGCAAGTTTAAAGGTCCTCCTTCTGTAACACTCACATTTTAAACCACAATTTGCTGGATGGCTTCCAGCCTCAAGCTTCAGTTTTCTCAGAGTGGAGATCAGGATCTTGTTATTTGTGTGAAACCACTTCGTAGAAACCAAAGTTTATTGTCATGTGTTGTGTGCCACAGTTACTAACTCAAACCTGACGGATAAAAAACAACTTCAAACCATTTTCAACTAATTGCAAATGCTTTTTTCTTCTCCATTGGGCATGTGCTACTGTTGTTGAGGCTTTCTGTTTATGCCCCTTGTTTTGTAAGTGGAGCGCTGGAGACAGGGCAGACTGGCTAATGCAAAGGATTGTAACTGGATACACTGATATTGTGTTTACCAACTCAGCAACTCTAGATGCATTTGTCATTGTTTAAGTGGATTCCATCAAATAGACTCTAGGTTACGTATCAGTATAGGACTACTCTCTTTAGTCTTCCATGTAGGATTGTAAACGTAAACATATAGTTTTTTTTTTCTAAGAACTGTCATTGCTTGATACATAACAGCTCAGTCACTTTAACCGCCCAGACATGTACAATATCATTTCCAAGTCACAACAACAGTACTTTATTGGCAGACCAAACACATGCAATTATGAGTTTTTGGCTTTAGCTTCTCCTCTGTCAGAAGCGCTACAAGCCCCTTCTTGAATATCCTCTGGCGGCCAACTTAAATCTGGCAGCAGGATAACAACATAGACACATAAACAGACCGCCCGAGGCTTCTCTGGGTCTGGCAGAGTGCAGAGCTGCTGGTCAGAGAATCAAAGCACCTCCATAGAGTGGCTCCCCCTGCTGCCAGTGCGCACTGGTTCAACTTCAGCTCAACTCTCAAGCACTGGGGGGGGGGGCGGGGGGGGGGCAAACAAGGTGAGCACAGCCGCTGTTCACCTCATACTTCATTGGACAGCTAATGTGCTTACTCCTGCCGACAAATTTTACATCGAACAATACGAACATTTGCTTTAAATGACTAGATGTGATAGGGAGCGGAGACAACTTGTGCGTAATTGGCACAAACTTGGTTCCTTCGCTGGCTGATGGTTAAAAATCACCACTCAGAATATGCCCGCGTTTCTATATGAAATAAACGCATTACTTGATTGTATTTATTGTTCAGATTTCATTGACCACCGGCCGAAAACGATCCCTTTTGCACCACTCCAAGAGCCCTGCTTACGGGACAGCCGTGCGTAATGTCTCGTATTGCCCCCACTCGACACTATATGACAAGCGGCAATTTATGTTGATAAAAGCAAATATTATGACTATCTAGCACTTTTTAAGGTAAAAAATATATCAAAGTATAAACAGAGACAAGACAAACCCGCATGGAGCTGACATCTCCTTTCCTAACACAATAATAACAAATGTTACCTTAGGCGCGCTTTGCTTTACCACACTTTCTCCTGCTTGGGCGCCTACTTCTCGGACCAAAACAAACCACTTCACTTGCGTTTTAATCATACCCCAGCTCACGTGATACACACACACAAGCGATCCGACAAAGATAATAACAAACGAGACGGAGTTTGTTTAATAGTAAGATCATATAAAGAGCTGATACACACCATGGCTGCTCTGAGACTCGGACGGTCCACTTGAAAGCTTACGCCAGTCGATCCAAACGTCAGTCACAATAAGGTAAGAAAAATACTCGTGGATGATAAAAAGTGGGTAGAAATACTTCAGAGAGTCTCCTTTGCCATATGCCAGCAGTCTGAGAGTCCGCTCAGTCAGGATGTGCCCGGGCATGCCCCAGTTCCCTCCTGTTGACAAAGTGAAGAGATAAAGGCGGGAGTTTATCCGCTTTTCGGTCCCAGAAAAACAGAAAAGCTGTGACTAAACTCGGTGGAAAATAGACACTTTGAGGCTGACTTGTTCCCTGATGCTGGTGGAGTATGTGTTTGCATTACAAGCTCGTGGTGGATGTTTGCTGACTGCGGAGAGGTTGTTTTTTTCTGCCTGCGCGGCCCGCCCTGATGGACTCCGGGACCCGCCCCTAGTCATCTGTGAAAGAAGGGAGCAGCGAGTACAATGTTATGCAAATGGACACAGCCTATTCACTTTATTATCGATTTAAAACCCACGAACTCGCTGAAATGCCCCCAGTGTTGACAGCACAAACGAAATTAAACTGTGAAGAGTTCGATATAGACTAGGCTACATCACAGCACCATGATGTATTGCCCCTAAGAGCGCAGAAGTGAGTTAGATATGCATTATTACACTGCGACTACACGTCAGTTTGCAGTGCATGCATTTTAATCAAACAACAACTACGCTGCACAAGGTTTTAGTGTGGATCCATCACGCATGCCAAAGAGGATAATAAGACATTACGTATGCAATAACATAGTAATGACAGACATGATCAATACATCCTCTGTGAAACGGCATCCTTCACACTAGAGCCGCCTTTCAGTTAATCTGAAAACATTACATTGAAGATTGTGTGTATTGTGTGTATCATTGCTTGTAAAGGCTTGGTTGATATGAAATTTGGATGATACTAAAATAAAACAATATTTCGTCTATCTACTTCTCCAAAATATCTAAAAATGCGACATTATATTATTTTAAACGTCCGAAGCACCGACCATCAATCTTGGAAAATTTCTTGTTATTGTTGTCAATAAGTAAATATTGCGCTGGCCCTTTAAGAGGGCTGTACTGCTGAGAGGCATAAGCTGGTGACAAGCGCGCAGCCAATCAGACGCTTTGTTTTGGTCCCGCCTTCTGCTTCGTGTATCTGGACACGTGGAGGGGAAAAAACACAAACCGAGATAAGACATGTGACTACAGCTCTGCCCTGCTCAGCTGATTGGGAGCTACTGCTGATCGGAGAGCATGTACCCACCCTGACAACCGGGGTGTGTGAGTGATGCTGTCTTATCTACCGTGGAAGAGCAGCATTGAAATGAATGTCTGCTCATGCATGTTATTATCCTTAGCTAATGCACGCCTCCTCGTGTTAAAGTAAATGCATTTTCTGTCATACATTTCCAATAGATGACAAATGTTATGTATTGTAATTAAAACGAATTGTGACACTTTCTGAGGCATTCTGAGCTCCACCCCCGAGGGCACCTATTGTTAACTGTGTTGATCGATGTAGGATGACAGTGGAATAAACAGCATGTATAGCTGGTGACCCCTTTAGCAGGGTGGGGGTATATGCATGCATGGTAAGGATCTAAATAGAAGAAAAACACAGTGAAATCAAGCTTGATCTTCACTGGGGGTTACTGGGGGCAAAAATATCCAGGCTACTCATGCAAGTCTATTTGATCCATGGTGTGAGTCAGACTATTCCCAGGAGACAATTTCTCGATGAAAGCAGATGTTGGAGCTTTGGACCAACGGCGGTGTTTAAGTTCAACGAGTGTAAATGTGTTTGCAGGTTGTCAACTTCACACCACATTCTTCTGTGTATTGGCAGGATTTGGGAAACAAGCAAACAACCTCTGCCTAGTTTAAGCTGCTGCTCTATAGAGGATCCCAGCCCCCACTCTCATCCCACCAGCCCCCTTCTGCTCCAGTCCTGCAGAGTAAGGACCCCACCCTAATTTTACAACAGAAACATACCGCAACACATGACTGGGAATACAAAGATGTTTTGACATTTTTTCTTAATAAACTGATAGTTATTTTGCAATAACATTTAAGTGCCTTTATACAAATGTTTGAAGGACTTACAATTTACCCTTTACCAAGTAGTTCTTTGAAAAGGCAAATCTATTTTAGTGCCATACAAATAATGTTTCACCTCTTTTTGAGCCAATGCTTTAAAATTTACTGCCAAAAACAAAACACGTTGAAGATCGTAGCTCAAGGACTACAACTTTTTGACACATTTTCAAAACTGAGACATTTGTTTTTGCAAATGAACACTTCAAATATACATTTTATCAATATATGATATGATACAATTATGGGGTGTATTCTCAGTTGTGTCCCAAATTTATGGGGACTTTTTTGGTAATGTTAAGGCATTTTATGAGGATTTTTTCATATACATTTTTATGCCTGCCCTACCTTTTACGCTTACAACTTGATTGCATCTTGAGCCAAAGCAAATTCCTTAAAAAAATAATTCTGATTCTGGTGTTATTGAATTGACCTGAAGGAATTTACTGGTAGTCATTGTCTGAGCTGATTTTAAAATTGATTCCCAGTTTGATTCCCAGTTCTTTGGGCTGATTGCCTTTTCAACAAACACAAGCAGCTCCTAACATCATTCTTGATCTTGATCCATACAGATTCACACTTGTGTAGCATTGACATAGTTCACAGCCCTAAGATACTTACATATTTTTGAGTCAGCCTCTGGGAATAATTACTTTAACCACCTCATTATTAATTGCCTTTAATGTAATAAAAGAAATAAAAACAAACACAAAACGTATTCCCAGTGGTATCGGGAAATGAATATGCTTCAGTTATTTTGATGTAATATTCATCCATTTTGGACCACTTTCCAGAGGTAGATCATTTAAAAATTAATTAGTCCACTGTGCGCTGCTTTTGAAAAACAGAGAATAGGGAAAAAATCCAATGCCCTGTTTCGCACTTTGTTTTTTTCTCCCCGCTCTATCAATAACTAATTAGTCCTCTCAAACAATAGCTGCAGGAGTTTTGCATTTCAATCAGTTGGTTACTTCACTGCTCGTGGACTCTCGGGTATATGCTAGTTTTGTCAGTGATTTGGTGATAGTTTGTTGTCTTTTGAACACTTCACCACATTTGTTTTGCAAATCAGGTTTTTGGCTGGGTGGTGTTTTTTTTCTTTTGCGCCGTGAACATAACATGATGTGCCGTCAACGCCAAATATCTGGAAAGCAAAAGCATCTCGCGTTTTGCAATCTCAATTTATAAGTCGTTTTTTGTCTTTTACTTTGAAATGTGCTGCTCCGATCGCTTTGAAGCAGCCTTTTGTGTTATCACTGAACTCAGGAACTTGTCATCCAAAACTTCCGATACTGCTTTTGTGTCAAGTAAAGAGGCAGACGACGTGTCCCGGCCCATTTTTGTTTCAGCATTTTTTCCCCGGCGAGACACATTATTCTCCACACTGAGTTATTTCTGAGTTTATGCTGCCAAGAGGGGTGATAAGGCTGTAATGTTGAAACATCTTCAAAGTTTACAGCATAATTATATGAATTTGCTTGCTGCCATTTCCTCTAATAGTTCCTGACACCCAGACGCTTTGTCTTTATTTTTCAATCGGTTCCACGACAAAACAGCTCAGCCAAAACTGCATGCTCTTGCACATCACAATTTTACGGTTAAGATCGCTTTTCCATTTAATTATCTCCCTAAATCCCCGCTCCTGGAGACTTGTTTTTCACATAAATTGATTGTGAAATGACGTGACAGAAATGCCAAGTTTTCACAGATTATTCAACTTCAGCGTCCGCCCGTGGACCTCCTCCCTCTGCCTTGTCTGTCAACACTTCTTGATTTTAACCATAGGTACAGTGGGGACTGAGCCAATGAACGAGGGCTCTCTGAGTTCATCCAGAGGTAACACAATTGAAGCCCAGCAGCACCCAAGGGAGACGCTTCTGATTCGGGGCATTTTTGACACTACTGTAATGCCAGGAATTAAATATAGCCGAACATAGAAATAATAGGCATGTCTTGGTGAGCGAGAAGGTATATTTGAGGGATTGAAGTGCATTTGTTGCTTTGTGTCTTTCAGCCTCCCTCCACCCGTCTCCAGCTGTGAGAACATAATGTGAATGAACGTTGGCTGATTATTGAGCAGCGCCAGCAGCTCGGGTTGTAAACAAACCATTTGTCAGGCAGACTGGCAGGTCTTCTGACACCTGTGCAACCTCCAAGATGATTCTCACTTCCAATTTGCAGGTGAGCGCTGTGCCACGTCCGCCCACGCTTTACTGCATGTGTCATGAAATTGTTTTGAAATGATACACTTTGGCAAACTTTGCAAATATATCAAATGCTGCCATACAAACATATTAGAGTTTTACAGTAGCACAGGAATAAGTCTTCTTCACATTAGAAGGTGCTGAATGTGTTGGAAGACATTCTGAAATTTAGTATGGATGAACGCTTTCTATGGGAGGGATATTTACTCCGCCAAGGGGTACTGTGATTGCCTCCATTTGTGTGTCTGTCTGTTTATCTGTAGGCAGGATTTCGCAAAAACTACTGAATATAGCTGAAATGTTGGTGGCGTGGTGTAGACGGGATGTGGTGGTAAGATGATCCCAATCAAATGTTGTGATGATCTGTGACAGGGTATTGGGGTATTGGGTCAATGAGTGCATGTTTATTGTATTATTATACTCTGTTATTGAACTATAGGGCAGTAACGCAGAAAAGAAACATCTCGATTTGTTTTTGCCCCCTCCGGACCATTACGAATTTCGATCAGTTTTATTCCATGTTATCAAAGCTCAGAAGGGCTAGATCATTTTGCCTGTGAAGAAATCATGCATTTTTCGTGTCAATATAGTTTCAAATCCATCCTCAATTTCCCCTCAAGCCACTCAAAAGTATTATTTTGACAGAAAACCTGAGAAGAAACTCACACACGGTGCTGCACGGTGGCTGAGTGGATAGCACTCTCGCCTCTCAGCAAGAAGGTCCTGGGTTCGAATCCCGGTCGGACCAGGGCCTTTCTGAGTGGGGTTTGCATGTTCTCCCCGTGTCTGCGTAGGTTTCCTCCGGGTACTCCGGTTTCCCCTACCACTAAAAATATGTCCAATAGTTCTGGCATGCGCCTC